CTGGAGCTCAAATTCACATAAACTGAAGCTTTTTGCTGTAGCCCACATGCTCTTCAGCACTTTTCTATAGTTGCTTTCCTTTCCTGTCTTTGTACTTCAGTCGGGATATTTTCATCTATTTTCCAGGTTATTAATTTCTTCCCTTGTGTTTCTCATCTGCTGTTAAACCCATCCACCAAGTTTTTAGTTCCAATTTTTATGTTTTTTAGATTCTAGCATTTCCATATGCCTTAAAAAATTTTTTTTTCTTAGTTCTGTGCCAGTGTTCTCAATTTCATCTTTTATTTCCTTGAGCATACTGAGCATAATTACTTTAAAGGCTACGTCCATTAATTCCATGACCTGCATCCCTTGAGGGGATCGTTTTGTGTTGTCTTTTGCTTCTCTTGGGTTTTGATTACATGATCTTGTCTCTTTGTATCTGAGTTATTTTTGATCGAGTTCCCAACATTACGTATGAAGAATTAAAGAGAAAATTTGAAGCCGATATATTCCTTTTGAGAGAATCTATAATTGCTTTGGAAAAATGGCTAACCTAGGGGTGCTGGCAATCCTAGATCACCCTGATCCAATTAGGGATTAAGATGATTTGAGCTGAGCTTCTGTCCCGGGGAGGCTGGCTTAATCCCAGCTCATCCTTCCTTCTAGTGTCCACAGAAAATCTTTTGCGCCAAAACACAAAATCTGGAGGATTTACTAGGATTCCTTTTCCTAGGCAGGCCCTAAGTTCCAATTTTGGTCTTTCCTACCTCTGCAAATCTGTTGAAACCTCAGCCTGTCATTTCTCGGCTGCTTGTTGTAGACACTTCTCATGGTTCCAAGTGCTGTGTTCACCTCTCTGGGTTTCTGTCTCCTTGAAATTGGCCTTGTAATTCTTCTCTGCTATGGTAGCTCTCCGATGCTTTCAAAAATACATTTTTAACATTTCATCAAGGTTTTCTAGTCAATCTCTCCAGAAAGCTCAATCTAAACAACTTAGTTTGTCATTACCAGTAGTAAAAACCTGATTTATGCTTTAATAAAATACCTAACTGCAAGAACAACCATCTCAATATTCTAGATGAGAGATGAATGCTGGCTTAGGTCAGAGTGGTGGTAAATAATAACTAAAATTTTCAATACCCTCTGCTGACTTTAGGCAATGCCAGATGACCCCACCTTCTCTCTCCGTCTTCCCAGCATAGTTGTATCACCATTTCAAAATTGTTTATTATTTCCCTTCTAAAATCCTAAACTTTAAATAATACACTAACCCCTTTATAATTTCATTGTGAACTATATTCTTTGATTCTCCATTTTAAAAGGCAAAGGTCTTCACATATCCATCCTGCTTAGCTTTCCTCTTCAAAATTTTATTACCTTTTTGTTATCTGAACTTTTCATTTTGCATTGTCTGCTTTGATAATATTTATATTTTTTTCAAAAACTATGCCTTTTATGCTTTGTCTGTAAGTACATTCTAAAAGTTAAAAATTATCAATCAAGTATAGTGGGGAAATGCCTTTATTATAACTACAAACATGAATGCTAGTTTAGCTGGGTATAAAGGTCTAGCTTGAAAGGAAGTTTCCTTCAGAATGTTGGAGGCTTCGTTTTATTGTCCTCTAGTACCTAGTGTTTCTTTTGAGAAGTTTGAGCCATTCTTATTGTCAGTCCTTTGTAGGTGACCTGACTTTTCTCTATGGGAGCCTTTGGAAAATTCTCATCCCTGGAAGTACAGTGTAAGAGATCCTTTTACTAGGAATGAAAATCTTGTGGTATCTGTCAACCAAGACACTCATATTCTTCAGTTTAGGGAAATTTTTCTTTTATTTCTGGCAAATTTCTATTTTATTTTGTCTTCTGGAACTGGTGTTAATCAGATATTGAGCTTCCTGGAATGTTTTTGCTATATGTGTGTGTATATATATATCTCAAACATATTTTTTATATATATATACACACACATGTTTTTTCTCTTTTTGTCTCTTTTTTAGATATTTTCATGGTGTATCTTCCTACTGTTATATGTATATTATATTTTATATGTAACATGAATTATATTAATTAATATAAAAAATTACATTCATGGACCTCCCAACATCACCACATTGAGGATCAAATTTCAGGAGGGGCAAACTGCATCCAACTCACAGAAGATGATAATGGGGATTGTGGTTATGTTTTAACAAGTTGCATTTTAGAGATAGATATTGAAGTATTTAAAATGCTGTATCTGAGATTTGCTTCCATCCTGTGTGTGTGTGTGTGTCTGTGTCTGTGTGAAGTGGGTGGAGGTGAAACGAAATAGGACTGCCTCCGTTTGGATAATGGTTGAGGGTGGGTGACAGGCGTTTGGTGATTCATTGTATTACTCTGTCTACTCTTGTGTAGTTTGGGAATTTCCACAGTAAAAGGGAAGAGGAGGAGCAGCCACAGGATACCTGGGCTCCTGGCCTTGGGGGACTGCCTGGCTCCCAGGCTCCTGGGCTCCCATGGTCCCAGGTCTGGATCTTGATGACTTTCACCTGTGGTGTCTGCATCTGTCAGAGCTCCTGTGCCCCTGGAGGGTGGGCACCTCAGAACCGCGGTCTCAGCCTTGTCACAGGTGGGCATGTCGGGGTCTTGGGATGTCAGAAGGCATTGGTAGGGAACTTGGCCTGGTTGCCCCTGAATTCCTCCTCCACCTCCTGGTCCATGAAGCAAGGTCCATGAAGCAAGGCCCTGCCTGATGGTGCTGCCATCTTTTTTTGGGAAGCTTCCCAGCTGTAGGGGACCAAAGCCCTCAGAGGACCATCAGAAAGGCGGGGGCTGGATCAGGGTGAGGCCGGGAGGGAGAGCGAGGGCCTTGTGTGCCTGATCTGTGTGAGGCGTTGGGGGCCGCACCTACCTCGAGGCTGAGTAGGGCATGAGTGACCAAGGTGAACACTTAGGACACGTGAGCCAGCATTGCTTCTGCACACAGAGCAGTTCGTATCTGTTCGGACAGGTTGAAATCTCTTTTCCTTAAAATACTTTTTTTTTTTTTTGAGATGGAGTCTTGCTCTGTCTCCCAGGCTGGAGTGCGGTGGCGCGATCTTGGCTCACTGCAAGCCCTGCCTCCCGGGTTCACGCCATTCTCCTGCCTCAGCCTCCTGAGTAGCTGGGACTACAGGTGTCCGCCACCACACCCAGCTAATTTTTTGTATTTTTAGTAGAGAAGGGGTTTCACTGTGTTCGCCAGGATGATCTCTATCTCCTGACCTCATGATCCGCCCGCCTTGTCCTCCCAAAGTGCTGGGGTTATAAGTGTGAGCCGCCGTGCCTGGCCAACACATTTTTTTTGAGATGTGGTCTCACTATGTTGCCCAGGCTGGTCTTGAACTCCCGGGGCCAAACGATCCTCCCTAAGTGCTGGGATTATAGGCGTGAGCCACCACATCCTGCCTGAAGCCACCACATCCGGCCTGAAGCCACCACACCCGGCCTGAAGCCACCACACCTGGCCTGAAGTCTCTTCTTGCTATGATGCTAGGGATACGTGTCTTCATTTCCCCTCACAGATAAGTCCCAGTGAGGTCAAGCAACTTACTCAGGGTCACACAGCACTCTAGGAACGGAGTCTGCTCAGCTGTGGTCCCCATGAGTTGGGCTACCTGGCGTGGCCTTAGGACGGGGACTAGGCTCCTGGGCTCTCTAGGCTGCCTGGCACTGCTGATTCCTGACTTTTCCTCTCCCTCCTCCCTACGCCCTGTTCCCTCCCTCCTTCCTCCTTCCCTCCTTCCTTCCTCCCACCTCTTACTTCACCCTTTTCCCAAAGAGGCAGAATTGCAGCAAGAAAGGGGCTCAGCTCAGGGCCAGGTGTGTCCTCAGACCACAGAGCGCCCCCGTCCCTGGTCCTAAGCCCACCTTTGAGGGTGGTGGAGGTCAGTGTTTCGGCTGCAGGTTACGCAAACAGAGGTCCTCCAGGTGCAGGAGGAAAGGCACATCGGCCCTGGTGGGATTGAAATGCACAGGCTGACTAAGACCACGCTGGATGCATGAGGCTTAAGAGTGGTTGAAGAGCTGTGGACAGTGGTCAGTGCATTTGTCTGTGGGCAGGAGCAAGGTCTGCAGGGGTGGTGCGTCCTGCCATCCACAGCTCAAGGCAAGGTGGGCTTTGGAGCAACCCCAACCCACGTGGAGGACACAACCATGGTCATTATACGGTGACTCGGGGCTCAACTTCCAGTCCCCTCCTCCCAGCAGACCTCCAGATGCTTGTCATCTCAGCCTCCGTAAACCCCACGCCAGTTCAGCCTCTCACCCACTTTAAAAAGCAAATTAAAGTTTTAATTTTCAGATAATTGTGGATTTACAGACAGTTATAAAAATTACCCAGAGAGCCTCATCCACTTTATTTTTTAATGTCTCACAAAACTGATACACAGAAATGTTGACAGGTTCTCAGAAACTGCGACTTTAGGTGAAACCACTTACAGCTAATTCTTTTTTTTTTTTTTGGTAGGGACAGGGTGTATTAGTCCATTTTCAAACTGCTATAAAAAACCACCTGAGACTAGGTAGTTTATAGAGAGATTGAATTAACTCACAGTTCCTCATGGCTGGGGGGGACCTCAGGAAGCTTACGATCATGGCAGAAGGTGAGGGTGAAGCAAAGTCCCTTATTCACAAGGCAGCAGGAAGGAGAAGTGCTGAGTGAAGGGGGAGGAGCCCTTTAGAAACCCATCAGATCTTGTGAGAACGCCCTCACTATCACAGGAACAGCAAGGGGGAAACTGCTCCCGTGATTCAATCCCCTCCACCGGGTCTCTCCCTGGACACATGGGGATGATGGGGATTACAATTCAAGATGAGATTTGGGTGGGGACACAAAATGAGATTTGGGTGGGGACACAAAGCCCAACCCTATCTCCAACTCCTGTATTCAAGTGATCCTCCCACTGGGCCTCCCACAGTGTTGGGATCACCGGCGTGAGCCCTGTGCCCGGCCACAACAACCAGGTTCTTACTTCCTTTCTGTGTTTTCCTCTCCTACACAGGAAGAAAACAGGCAGATTTTGGCGCGGCAGAAGTCGAACTCACAGTCGGACTCCCATGATGAGGAGGTGTCGCCCACGCCCCCGAACCCCGTGGTGAAGGCCCGCCGCCGGCGAGGAGGCGTGAGCGCCGAGGTGTACACCGAGGAGGACGCCGTGTCCTATGTCAGGAAGGTGAGGCTCCTGGGGTTCCCGTCCGCAGTCCTCGGCATGTGGCTGTCACCCCTGAGCTCCCTGGACCCCCACAGGGCACCCTCGTCCTCCTGGGGCCTCAGTGTCATTTTGGTCGGAGGGAGGACTACGTGGGTGATGGCGGACGCAGTTCTGGGCGGGATTGGTTTGTTACTGTCTTTGCCAGATGAGCTGAGCTCGAATTTATGGGAGCAGCTCTGTGTGGAGTCTCTGCAGCCCCAGGGCGGCTTTAGGATCCTCGCAGGCTCAGGGAAGGGAAGGGACTCGCTAGCACCCAGGTCCTTGGAGTCAGCAGAGACCGTCCTGGGCTGTGTGCCTCCCATGCTCCTGCAGCCTCTCTGGTCTCTTCTTATACGGCACAAATTCCATTATTCAGGGCCCTCCTCTCATGACCCCATCCAGCCACAGCCACCTCCCAAAGGCTTCTCTCCAAATACCGTAGCTGGTTAGGGCTTCCACATGGGAATTTCTGGGGAGACACAAGTCAGTCTCCAGTATCCTCTTAGCCATTTCTGAGTGCATGGTTGAGTGGCGTTAAGCACATTCTCCTTGTTGTGGAATCGTCGCCACCACCATCTCCAGAACCTTCTTACCTTGCAGAACTGAGACTCTGTTTCCTAAACACACACACCCCATTCCTTTCCCCAGTACTTATTACTTTTTTGTTATTTATTTATTTATTTATTTGAGACGGAGTCTCGCTCTGTCGCCCAGGCTGGAGTGCAGTGGCACGATCTCGGCCCACTGCAAGCTCTGCCTCCCGGGTTCACGCCATTCTCCTGCCTCAGCCTCCCGAGTAACTGGGACTATAGGCGCCCGCCACCACGCCCGGCTAGTTTTTTTGGTATTTTTAGTAGAGACGGGATTTCACCGTGTTGTCCAGGATGGTCCCGATTTCCTGACCTCGTGATCCGCCCGCCTCGGCCTCCCAAAGTGCTGGGAATACAGGCGTGAGCCACCGCGCCCGGCCCTTAATACTTTTATAATCAGCTAATTGAAGCTAGCTCAAGCATTGTTAAACATTTATTAGGGCACTCCACCTCTGGGGTCTACCTCCCCAAGACCCAGAACCTCAGTCTAACCATGAGAAGAACCTCAGATAAACCCAAATTGCGGGACGCTCTGCAGAATGCCTGATGAGCCCTGCTCATGTCACATGAGGAGAGTGTGAAGAACTGTCACAGACCAGAGGGCACAGGAGAGACAGGACAGAGTCCTGGGACAGAAAAAGGCCACTCAGGCAAAACAAAGGAAGAACAGATTTGGTGTGGGGCTCGTGCGTGTCACATATCGAGATGGCCTCCCTGGTTGTGATAAATGCATCCTAGGATGTAAGGTGGTAACATCAGGGGACCTGCAAGGTGCACGGGAATGATCTTTGCAACTTCTCTGTAAATAGAAAGTGTTTGAAAACAAAACACTTATATATATATTTTTGAGACAGAGTTTCACTCTTGTTTCCCAGGCTGGAGTGCAATGGCATGATCTCAGCTCACCACAACCTCTGCCTCCCAGGTTCATGTGATTCTCCTGTCTCGGCCTCCTGATTGGCCGAGATTACAGGGGCCTGTCATCACGCCCTGCTAATTTTTTGTGTTTTTAGTAGAGATGGGGTTTCACCATGCTGGCCAGGCAGGTCTCGAACTCCTGACCTCAGGTGATCTACCTGCCTCAGCCCCCCAAAGTGCTGAGATTATAGGCGTGAGCCACCGTGCCCAGCCAACACTTTCAAGCGTTAGAATTGAAGTGGCTTTTTAGGAGATTGGAGTGCTGACTCTCAAAGACGTCTGCACAGGGGTTCTCTGAGTTAAACACACAGCACGCCTAAGCCTGCGTGGTCTGCCGTTGCACCTGGCAGACAGGGACTTCCTGGGTGGCCCGAGCACCACACTAGTTCTCATTATGGCCTAAACGACCTTCCTGCACGGTTTTATTTTAAGGGGGGGATATCCTGGCATCTGAGGTGTTCGTAGTGCTTCTGATTCATCCAGAGAGGGAGTGGGGAATTATTGATCAAAGGGTGCAGAGTTTCAGACAGACAGACAGACAGACACACAGGAGCAATGGGTTTTGAGGTCTTTGCACGGTGGGGTGACTGCAGCCAATAACAGCGTACTGCATACAGGTACCCACTACATGACCGCACTTCGGTTGTTGACAGATTGTATATACGTGGTCCTGTAAGATTATGATACCGTATTTTTTACTGTACCTTTTTCTCTGTGTGGATATGTTTGTTTAGTTGTTTATTTTTTTTGAGATGGAGTCTCACTCTGTCACTCCGGCTGCAGTGCAGTGGCACGATCTTGGCTCCTGGCAACCTCTGCCTCCCGGGTGCAAGTGATTCTCTTGCCTCAGCCTCCCGAGTAGCTGGGATTACAAGTGTGCACCACCACGCCCGACTAAGTTTTGTATTTTTAGCAGAGACGTGGTTTCACCATGTTGGCCAGGCTCCTCTCGAACTCCTGACCTCAGGTGATCCACCTGCCTCGGCCTCTCAAAGTGCTGGGATTACAGGCGTGAGCCACCATGCCTGGCCTGTGTAGATATGTTTAGATATGCCTAGCATTGTGTTACAGCTGCCTGCAGTGTTAGGATGGCCACATGCTGTACAGATTTGTAGCCTAGGAATGATAGGCTCTGTCACGTTCTTACCTCAGTGCGTAGTTAGGCTACACCGGCTAGGCTTGTGTCTGTTGCTCTGTGATATTCGCACGATGATGAAATTGCCTAATGATGAATTTCTCAGAAACACTTCCTCATCATTACGTGACACGTGACTGCATTTCAAAAGTAGTAAGAGGCTTGGTGCGGTGGCTGACACCTGTAATCCCAGCCCTTTGGGAGGCTGAGGTGGCAGGATTGCTTGAGCTCAGATGTTTGAGACCAGCCTGGGCAACATACTGAGACATCATCTCTAGTAAAAATAAAAAATTTAGTCAAGCGTGGTGGTGCACACCTGTGGTCCCAGCTACTCAGGAGGCTGAGGTGGGAGGAGCACCTGAGCCCAGGAGGTCTGCAGGGAGCTGTGATCAAGACTGTTTAAAAGAAAAAAAATAGCAGTGAAATACACATTAAACTTCAGATTGCATATGTGTGCCATTGCCTGATAACGGCAAGCTGAGGGTGGAATGGGGAGATCTCAGGCCGCGTCACAGCGTCAGGACGGGGTGGCTCACGTGGTGATGTTTTGGTTCAGGTGATTCCAAAGGATTACAAGACCATGACTGCGCTGGCCAAGGCCATCTCCAAGAATGTGCTCTTCGCTCACCTGGATGACAACGAGAGGAGGTAGGCAGACTCGTCCCCCGCCCCGGCATCACTGCCGCCCTCCCCGGCCTCCAGGGAGGCTCTGCCATTTCTCTGACTCACGGGCCGTGGATCACGGAATGTTCGGTGCCAGGAGAAGCGTGTCACAGCTCTCTGGAAACGTGGGCTCGCCAGGCAGGGGTGGCTTCCCGAAATACTACGCTGCGTGCACCTGCCCTGCTGCCGAGCTGAAACCCTGCTCTGGGGGGACCTGGCTGCCTTCCTCAAATACCGGGTCTGGATCTGTGGTTCCCCCGCGCGCTATACCTAGAAAGGCACGGGTGGTGTGATGACTGTGGGCTTCGTGTTCCGGCCTCTTCCGTATGCGTGGACGTGCCTCGCCGTTGTTAAGCTCACTGCTTCGCGGGGGAGATGGGGCCAGGATGTACCTTTCCCGCGGCTCCTGCCCATGCCAGGAGCTTGGAGGCTCGAGGCAGGAGGTGACAGCAGATGAGGTCTGCAGGGTCACAGTGAGGGGACAGAGGAGGTCAGAGTTATTCAGGGAAAGGGCCGAGTGTGAAGGGTGCTGTATGTGGGGATGGTGATCATAGACATAATTGGAAAAATCAGAAAAGTTTGAAAAGATTAAGAGCAAAAATGTCTCCATCTGATGCCTAGAGATAATCCTTGGGGATATTTGGGGGGGCAGTCGTTAAGGACTGACCTTGTGCACAGATCCCGTCTGTAATAGCATCTCATTCTACACCGTTTTCTTACACTCAGGGCGTCCTTAACATCTTTCCACGCCGGTAAGGGTTCTGCAGTGGTCTGTGCTGTCAATTTCTGTGTGAATTAGATGTTTTCCTATTGTGGCTGTTTGCATTTTTTAAATCTCTATTATTATTATTATTTTAGACAGAGTCTTGCTCTGTTGGCCAGGCTAGACTGCAGTGGTGAGATCTTGGTTCACTTCAACCTCTGCCTCTCAGGTTCAAGCAATTCTCCTGCCTCAGCCTCATGAGTATCTGGGACTACAGGCGCCCGCCACCACACCTGGCTAATTTTTGCATTTTCAGCAGAGATGGGGTTTTGCCATGATGCCCAGGCTGGTCTCAAACTCCTGACCTCATGATCCACCTGCCTCAGCCACCTAAAGTGCTGGGATTACAGGCGTGAGCCACTGCACGCGGCCTGCATTTTTAATTTTATGAACATTTGGTGGTCATCCTTGCGTTTTCATCCTGGAGTACTTGTTCATTTCTTTCTTTGAGGTAAATTCCTTGATGTGATCAAAGGATGTGCAACATTGAAAATTCTCTCTTTTAAAACAATTATTTGACAAATTATAATTCTTTATTAGATTGACTGAGACATTTTGATACTAGTCCTATATAAAATCTAAATGATCTCCATAGGTATAAAATACAAAGAGAAAGTGTCTTTTTCTCCCCCTCCTGGAGGGCGACCATGTGGTGGTCCAGGGGGGCTCCAGCTGCCCTCTGTGTTTGCAGGTGTGTGCCCAAGAGCGCAGGTGGGGACCCTGGGAGCACACTACACACATTGTTCTCTGCTCTGCTCCTTGCTGGTGATGGGTCTAAGAAGTCCTTCCGTATAAGTACAAATCTAATTGTTGTGAGTATCTGCACAGTGTTCCATTGTAAGAATGAATCAGAGTTTATTAACTGCTGCCTTTGCCAAGGTCACGTGGGAGGATTCTAATTTCTCTGCGCTACAGTGTTTCTGTGAGTAGTAACTCTGCGGTTAGGCAGGAGACTCCCGGCATCCCGGTGGCTGGGTCAGAGATTGGTCTGTTAAGATCCTGATAGGTGTTGGGGTGCGTGTTTGTGACGGGCTTTTGATACATTTTGCTGGAATCTCACTCAGAAAGGGTGGCAGGGGCTATGCAGAGGAGTGGCCTTCACGGGGCCTTGGCTCCCAGCTGCTCACATCATGCTGAAATACCCTATCTCATCCAGAGCATGTGCCCGGTTCAGGCTGGATACTTTGGGTCCAGGGTGCCCAGTTACCCCAGGCAGTAACACCTGCTGCCTCTGTGGTTGAGCAGTGGTTAGAGTAGCTGAGCATGGCTGGGATAGCTCCGTAACCGCAGTGGTTAGAGTAGCTGAGCATGGCTGGGATAGCTCTGTAACTGCAGTGGTTAGAGTAGCTGAGCATGGCTGGGATAGCTCTGTGTGGCTGGAGTAGCTAGGCATGGATAGAGTTAGCTGGGCATGACGAGTGACTAGATGTGGCTGGAGTAGCTGGGTGTGACTGGAATAGCTGGGGTTTGCTGGAGTAGCTGGGTGTGGCTAGAGTAGCTAGGCATGGACGGAGTAACTAGATGTGGCCAGAGTAGCTGGGTGTGGCTGGAATAGCTGGGTTTGGGTGGAGTAGCTGGGCATGGTGTGAGTAGCTGGGTGTAGCTGGAATAGCTGGGTGTGGTTGGAGTAGGTGGACATGGCTGGAATAGCTGGGTGTGGCTAGAGTAGCTAGGGATACATGGAGTAGCTGGGCATGACTGTAGTAAGATGTGGCTAGAGAAGCTGGGTGTGGCTGGAATAGCTGGGTGCGGCTGGAGTATCTCATTGCGGTGAGAGTAGCTAGGCATGGATGGATAGCTGGGAATGACTAGAGTAGCTAGATGTGACTAGAATAGCTGGGTGTGGCTGGAATTCAGGATTAGCCTGGACATGGTTGGAGTAGCTGTGTGTGGCTGGAGTAGCTGGGCATGGCTACTCCATCCTGGGAGGTGTCCAGGCTCCCCAAGATACCCACGTCCTTGTCTCTGGGACCTGGATGTGTCATCTTGAGTGGCAGAGAGAGACTTTGCAGATGTGATGAGGTGAGAGGTGGGCGGGTGGCCCTGGGTTTCCCAGGAGGGCCCTGATACCATCACATGTGCTTCCTAAGGGGAGGCAGGAGGAGATTCCACACACAGAAGGGGAAGAGGCCATGTGACCACAAGGCAGGAGTTGGTGAGATGTGGCCACAGGCTGAGGAGGGCCGTAGACACTGGAAGAGGCGAGGAGGGGTGTGCCTGGGGCCTGTGGAGGGCGTGGCTCTGCAGCACCTTGATTTCCACCTGCTAATCCTGGATCTGGACTTCTGGCCCCCAGAACTGCAGAGACAATACACTTCTGTTGTTTCAGGACCTGCTGTACTTGCTCACAGCGGCCCTGGGATACACGCACAGAGGTGTCCGCCTGGCAGTGGTCACCAGGAGGAGCCAGATACTGAAGAGCTGAAGACTATTTTAACTTGAATTTAACTTGAATTTAAACATCAATTTACAATGCAATTGAAATGTCGTTTTTGAATGGATGTTATGTTCACCTGGTTAAAAATTCAGTTTAGAAGATTACGGAGGGACCCTGAGGAAGAGAGAGCCCTTTCTGGTCCCAGCCGCGCCTCGCTGGAGCCTCTGCAGCTTCCTCTTTGCAGACAGACTCAGCCCTGAGGCAGGAGGTCCCTGGTCCACAGCTGCTGGCCACACAGACCAGCTGTCCATTTTCTTATTTTTTATTTTTTATTTTTTTTTTAAAGACAAGGCCTTACTCTGTCACCCAGGCTGGAGTGTAGTGACACCATCATAGCTCACTGCAGCCTCGACCTTCTGGGCTCAAGTGATCCTCCCATCTCAACTTCCCAAATAGCTGGGACTGCAGGTGTGCACCGCCACATCTGGCTAATTAAAAATTTTTTTTTTTTTGTGATGGAGTTTCACTCTTGTTGCCCAGGCTGGAGTGCAGTGGTGCAATCTTGGCTCTCTGCAACGTCCACCTCCCAGGTTCAAGCGATTCCCCTGCCTCAGCATCCCAAATAGCTGGGATTACAGGCGTGCGCCACCACACCCAACTAATTTTTGTATATTTAGTGGAGATGGGGTTTCACCATGTTGGCCAGGCTGGTCTTGAACACATGACCTCAAGTGATCCACCCGCCTCGGCCTCCCAAAGTTCTGGGATTACGGGTATGAGCCACTGCGCCCAGCCTTTAAATTTTTTGTAGAGACAGGGTCTTGCCATGTTGCTCAGGCTGGTCTCGAACTCCTGACCTCAAGCGATCCTCCTGCCTTAGCCTGTCAAAGTGTCGAGGTTACAGGTGAGAGCCACTGTGCCCGGCCAAGCTGTTCATTTTTAATGCAGCTTCAAGTCCTCAGGAAAGGATGGTGGCTGATGAGGCCGGGGTCCAGTGTGACCCTGCGAACCCGCTCCTTTGTGCCAACTAGAAGGGGGTGCTCTGGGTGGGCAAAGCACTGCGGACGTACAGCTGGGCTTCAGCCATGCTCACCTTGCATCACGATGGGTAGCATGTCCTGGGGCCGTCATCGGTAGGCAGGAGACAGGAGACAGATCACAGAACCATGACACCTTTGAATGCTGGGGAGGGAGGTTCCATCAATGCAGAGTGGTCGTCATTTGGGCAGGCACCCTAAACGTCAGCTGCTGTGCTTAGAAGATTTATGTCTGCGTTCTGGGCCACCGTTTGCAGATCGGGCCCAGCAGGTGGCTGGTCTGCGCTCAGCTCTTCCAGGAATGGGCTGCAGGACCAGGACTCTGGTCTGGGTGAGCACATTGTTATTATTGTTTATTGTTTATTTATTATTATTATTATTTTGAGATGAAGTCTCGCTCTGTTGCCCAGGCTGGAGTGTACTGGTGCAATCTCAGCTCACTGCAACCTCCACCTCCCGGGTTCAAGCAATTCTCCTGCCTCAGCCTCCCAAGTAGCTGGGATTACAGGAGCCCACCACCACGCCCGGCTAATTTTTGTATTTTTAGTAGAGACGGGGTTTCCCCATGTGGGCCAGGCTGGTCTCGAACTCCTGACCTCAAGTGATCCTCCTGCCTCGGCCTCCCAAAGTGCTGGGATTATAGGCATGAACCATCGCGCCCAACTATTATTTTTATTTATAGCAACGGTAATGATGACTGTCCAACATTTTCTTTTTCTGGCTCAAATATTCCCACGTGTGGGAACAGTATGGTGGATGGAGCACAGCTTTGCACCTGAATTCAAAATTGGTTCAACAAGGCCGGGTG